ATTTATATATATATATACTAGCTGTGTACCCGTTCTACGCACGGGGATCTTATAATATTCAGTTGAAACCTTCTTATATAACGAACAGCAGTTGGTTTGCATATTTTAAGATATGCTGGCCAAACTATTATACATAGCTTCATTTTATGTTGTTTTTTGTTGTTCCGGATCGGTATGACAATCAATAAAAGGTTAAATTACCTCTGTGTCTGCCGGTCGATCCTATAACGGTAGGCTTACTTTTATTTTTACTATCTGATCTCGTTTGCATGGCTCAATCACGTCCTGGTTGAAGTTCGTTCGCTACGCTCACTCACCTGTATGTTGGAGCTCGTTCGCTGCGCTCACTTTCCTTCAGGTTAGCTCGTTCGCTACGCTCACTTGCCTTCAGGTTAGCTCGTTCGCTACGCTCACTCGCCTCCAGGTTGCAAATTAGCTGTTGTCATAAATGTAAAAGAAATAATAGTGCTAGTGCTGCACCCTGTTGGTAATCCTTGTAACTTTAATGCTATTGAACATCACAGAACAGAACCAACTTGTTTAATTGAAACAGCTGTTAAGATTCAATAATTTCATTTCTCATAAGGTTAACATGGGCTTCCAGAAATTCCACGTCAAAAATCGACAAAAACTTGATTTTCAAGGGTTTACTGTTAAATATCTAACTGTCTCATATTCGATGAAATACGTCTAAAACCATCTCATATATGTATAGTATTTGGAAAATAAGTTTCAGGCGGGACAGTGCTATAGTTATTGAGGAGTAGTTGTAATAAAGTGCGTATTTTAGCGTTACCAAGAGAATGACAGATAGACAGACAGACAGACAGACAGACAGACAGACAGAAATTGAGATAAGGTTTGATTCGGTTTCTCTGACCTATGAAATGTAAAAATAACCAAAAAGTTCATTATTCTAAGCAATGTACAGACAAAACTCTAATTTTATTTATATAGATATATATTTATATATGTGTCCGTTAGCGCGATAACTCGAGCAAAATTGATCCGATTTTGATGAAATTTGGTACAAACGTGTAAACCTACATTTATTCGAACGAGTTCGCGAACCAGCATAATCGGACCATGGGATCAGGGGTTTATGGGAGGTTTTATGGGGTAAAAATGGGTTTTTCTCATTTTTGACCCTAAAAACTTTAAATTTCTAAATTTCTCTCTAGACCATTTTGAAGAGCTTAAAAAAACAAATAATTTAGTATATTGAAGTGTTTTTGAATGTTCATTGACTACGGAGAAAATTAAAAAAATTGTAAATTTACAATTCCCATGTTATTCTTATGGAGAATAAATAAACTGTTCTATTTTGCTTGTTTATGGATATATTTTAATCAAATTTGGCAATTTGGTTTATTTCATACTAAGCTATCAATATTTCAATTGAAAAAACACACCTCAACATCTTCCCCGTAGCAGCAAACCTATCTACTCACTAAAATTAATGTTATTTAAAAATGGAAATAAATCTGAAAATTTATAGGGAATATTTTAGTAGAAATCAAGCCGGGTAAATGGAAATTCGCTTAGTATGCAGGTTTGCTGCGACGGTGGTATTTTGTATATTTACCGTCTTGTAAGTAACAGTATAAGCGTAAATATGTGTTTTAAGTGTTATAAGACGGTTCTTTTATTTACTTTCCGTAAATTTAATAACACGTACAATGCTGATCAAGAAGTTATTTACTAATAAACTGTAAATAAATTCAATTAGATGTGTAGGTAAGAGTAATATTTTAAATGAATAGAGAAAATTGTACATATTAAGGAAATGGTTATACTTTGAAAACACTCGAGGTTCATTTGGGGCATTGGCTTGAATGAGATAGCCAATGATAAAACCTAAATGTACTCCTGGGACTCTTGATGAAGTTACATAGTAAACGTTGGACTGTAGGGAATAAAACGTGCATCGTAAAATAATAAAAACGAGCAGTTGGCCCGTAATACGTACGGGGATCAAGAAGTCGCTTAAAACTTAATATAATTCAGAACAGCTAGTTTACAGGCACAAAGAAAGATTCTGGCAGTTGCAATAAGGAAAATCATCTCGTAGATAATAATTATAGCATTACACGTAGTAAAAAGAAGTCGTTCCGACGTATGTCATTTCATTTTTATCCAAAAGCTGAATTTGTGTCACGCTGAATGTTTACAGGTGTTACGTTAAGCTAATGAAATTATTCCAAAAACTAGTCTAGAATGTTAGCGTCGGCTAGTAGACTTTGTAAACATTAAAACTTAATTTATAGAAAACTGAACACCTAAACTAAAATTACGGCATCGACATTCCCTGGTTCTCAAAATTATCTTTCATTCAACACAAAAATCATGAAAACTCGTCAAGTGTTTGATCCAGAATAGTGAAATAAAAAAAACCCTGTCACGTTTATATATATGATGATGATGATGATGATGATGATGCTCTAACATTTTACACTTAATAAAGGTTTTATTTATGATCTTCCAACACTTGATGTCGATGAAAATATTATAATATCAAAACTAAGATCTAACTAAAGAAAAAAAACTTATTGTAATAAGTTGTTGTTTTATGATTAGATGAGATCGTCAAATATTTTGCACAAGAACTGAAGAACTCAACGATAAACATTGACGAATATTATTGACTTTCTATAAACAGTTTCTATTTTTTCCGTTACCTATTTTCGATATTTTATTGATTCATCTAAAAAATTATCACATAATACTGCAAATGTACATTAATTACATTACTATACTAAGTCGGGCACGATATTTTAAAATACATATCTAGAAGAGGTTTGTATTATATATATTATAAAAGTTAATGTAGGAAAGTTGCTGAAGTGCATACAATGTAATGTGGTAAACCATAAGGGAGTGAAGTGAGATGTGTGCCACTTGTAAAATACCTTTGTCAAAGATATAACACTGAAAGGTCCACACAACTGGAAGTTGCCTGAAACTCAACTGAGACAAATATCTGCGAGTGCGACTAGTTTATATATGACTAGCAGCTATACCCGTACCTTGCAACAGGGTCATAGTATGCAAAAGAGAAAATGTTGGTTCTTTGAAAATGACTTAAAAATGGTTTCACTCCTACAATTTAATTTAGAAATGAAATTGAACTGTATTACTTAACTTTATAATAGTACGTTTTCGTTAACTCAGACTGTGAACACTTATTTAGGCTACATAGGATACAAAATCAATGATAGATTTTAAGGTATAATAAAATAACATGTTGAATGGTTTACTAAATAATGGTGTAAGTACCTGCATCTATGTGATCAACGTGTTGCTAAAATGCAACCGGTTTCGACTCACAAAGGAGTCATCGTCGGGGCAGTACAGATGTCTTCTTGCTTCATTTGAAGGTCGTCAATTCGTAATAAATAAATACATTTAACACGCACACGTACACGAACATGCCACTGGGATTTTTGAGATAAGAATATGCCTATATGTTAATCGGGAATGTGAGCTATAATCATGCCAAATTTCATCCCAATACGACCAGTATTTTTCACTTTTACTTGTCACAAACGCTTGTTTACATTTAAACTTTGTGAGATTGTACTTTGTTACCATGGAGACCAATCAATATTTGCTTTTAAATCTCTCACCTCAGAATTTTGAAAGCCCGCGGGGCAGAGTCCTAGTTCAATATCGAAGGGGGGATAGTTCTATTGTATCCTCGGGGCGGTAGCTTTATTTTTGTCTAATTTGAGCCAAATCGGTTCAGTAGTTTTCGAGTTAATCTCATGCAAACACACAGACACACAGACTAACAGACACTACCTCTTCTTTATAATAGTATAGATAGGTAGGTAAGGGTTACTTTACATAAAAGTTATGTGGATATCTTTAAACTTAAAATATAATGGTTAAGTTGATAAAATATTATTTTTTGCTGAATAATTATCAGAAATTCAGCAATTTTTTTAAATTATGGAAACATTTACATTAATAGCAGTTTTATTATATACTACAAATATTTTATTAAATTATCGAAAATCTAACGTTTTAGCGAGTTCCTCCATAGAGAAGTAACTATGCCACAGGTGGAATGGTAAGACCTTAATCCGGGACAATTTTACTTTTCCATTTTGATGTCCCCAGAGGCCAAAAATCCTATCAGTTCAAATCCTAAGGGATTGTTGACAGTACAGTACAGGTTGTTCCTTACCTCAACATATTATATACATTTTTAGTAAAGAGTTTTCATTTTTATTTTGGAGGGAGTAAAAGTTACACGGTACAATGTTTACTGATATCATCTGATTGAGACCTGTGACTAAACTCCCTCAACACATATATAATGGATTTTACTACTTATGGGTAATGGGTTTCAAACTGGTGGTGAATAAAGTAATAAAACATGGGAATTAAATAATTCAATATGATTGAAGTTTTACCAATATTGTTGTCTTCTTTTGTAAAAACGATAAATCACTAATGGACTGTGGCTGAAGAAGTAAGGAAACCGTTAAGATCGGGGGTTCCCGAGTGGTTAATTCTTTTTTAGTTTTTAGTTTTACACGGAATAAGTTGGTTTAATTTAAGAAAATATCGGCAAGTTTATTAAAATGAACTCTAGTTACACGGCATATTTTAAAATCCAACTATTTTGACTACCTGTAACAAAAATTATTGTTATGATTGATTACATTTCGTCCCCTAATGTAAACATGATTGAGTAGGCCTATACAAAATAACTTCTTGATCAGCATCGTACGTGTTATTAAGTTTACGAAAAGTAAATAAAGAAACGTCTTATAACACTTCATGTCATTCGCCTATATTGGGTCTGACGATGATTGGAGTGTCCATACGAAATCGATCACCACTTACCACATTTTTTGTATATTTACCGTCTTGTAAGTAACAGTATAAGCGTAAATATATGTTTTAAGTGTTATAAGACGTTTATTTATTTACTTTTCGAGTATACAAATATTTAATACTAAGAAATATAATAAGGGGATTTGTTATTGCAGGTGTTGACTGTACCGGAGATTATATTAATCCCAGTTAGAAATGAAGCCTGAAACCCACAGCAAATAGTTGGAGTGCTTTAATTCCAATAATGTTTGACAAGCCAAGAAAGTCTCTCCATCTCTGGCGGTGGAGTGGAAATATCGACAGACGGTTTCACTTGGGTGGAGCTATATTTTTATTCAGTCCTGTAATATTTCTTTTCAAACAATGTCAGTTTGGTTATTGATTAGAAAAGATAAAATAAACTACACAAATATTAAAATACATTTACTGTTAGATAATTTTAAAGGATGACTTGTTAAATGTATGGTGTTTATAAAAATATTTTAAAAATAAACAAGACAAATCTTTAAGCCACTGAAACATTTCCCTCTGAGGTCAAGTGCGTTCTCAGTAAAACTTATCAGAGACGTTCAGGAGTAACAGGTGTGTGTAAAATACACTGTGTCAGAATACACTTTAACACATTAGCTACCAACTATACTCATCTCTCAGTTACAGAGGAGTGTGACGGTTGGTAGGGAACGTGTTAATGTCACATATTACGTTGTAAAATACTGTTCGGCGAGTATACCTCATAAAAAGTTAGTTTTATCATTTGTATATGTTATAATTTCATTTATAGACTTACCGCCCAATATCACCGTGTTCTTACAAAATTAATTAAAATTTTGAAATATATATTTTCCTTATTCGCCGTATTAATTCACCTTTACCAAATAAGTTACTATTTTCTATTACAAATTATTAAAAATCTATGTCCATCCACTGTGTAAAGCCTTTGACATTAAACATATACTGACAAAAGAAAACTAGTTATTTGATTACTGTCCAAACTCGTACCCCAATCCAATTCCTACTCTCACCCTGCCTAAAAGATGTATTTACATTATATTAGACTGAGAAGTGTAAAGGTTTTTTTATAATAGTATCAAGATAGCAATTTAGTAGCCAGTGTTGAACTCTCACGCACATGCAGACGCCCATGTGATAATTTTTGTATTTATATATTGTAATGCTGCATTATTAATTCTTAAAAAAATATTAATTTTATTTGATTTAAGTTAAAATGTTTGTGATGAATTTTGTATTTAAAAGCATGTATTTTAGTTACCTCTTGTATGCAATTAATTATGTAAAACGAAACATTATTTCATTCCTGCATTGTGTTGAATAAAATACATTTATAGGAAAATGCAAATATTGTATAAGTATGATAGGGAAAGAAAAATCATACTTAGGAGACCATATCTATAAATATAATGCATACTTTTATTTATAAATTGATAGTATCACAAGACTTGGTGACATCGTAGTATACTCACGACTCAACAATGGATTATTGGCATAGTAAAATCTATTTATTCGTTTTAACATTGAGCCTGATTAAAGAGAAACTAGAAATTGAGACTCCAAAAGCAGTTACCTAACTAATTGTTTGAAATAAGCTTTTCTCTTAAGGGTCTGTACCTATTACTGAGTGATCCTGTATTACTTTACTATATAATTTAGTATGCTAAGGCTATTACTTGTACAAATCCTAAAACGTGATAACATTTTGTTTGCACTGGTCAAAAATTTTCGAAACTACAAGAGATTTTTTGGAACACAAATCTGAAGTTTGCTGGACTGATCCTAGTTGGAGGAAATTCTCTATAAGATGCCATATGTTTTATAATTTGACGTACGATGATTAATATCTATAAAGAAAACCCTCAATAGATATTTCTATATAAGTTTGCCCAAAGACTGTTTCATGATTAATAAATAAACAATCATATGTTTTTTAATTGTTTTGTTAAAAGAACAGTAAATAGTTTAGTATGTTGTTTTGTCGAATACAATAAAGAAGATACCTAGTTTTTGTTAAAATTTATTTTGTCATTTCTAATGTTTGATATTAATCGTCCGTGATATCAAAGGAATTGAATCACGTACAGTATAGTGACGATAACAAATTGTTGATGCAATTAACAAAGGTTCAACGTCAGACTCGTCGTGGAAAACACATATAAGGTAAAATACAATCACCTGTTGATAGAATGATCGGTGTTAAGCCGGTTGCGGTGGAGCCGATCGCCTAACACCGTGGTAAGGTTAAGCCTTTCAAAAGCTTTTTGCTGTCGTCGTCTAGGAGCTTGCATGTTTTCTGGGTCGTAAAATATGTTCAAGCACAAATAAATCCTCATGCAAGGGAAAGGATATTTAAGTAATTAGCATAATAGAATTGTTAGCAAATTGTTTTACATAAATATTTTCCAATCCTTTGCACTTAAAGTTACAGAAAAGAAAGATTAACTTAACAGAACGATTTGGAACTGATGACAGGTTATGTGAAAGAAATTAGTCTATAACAGTTCCGGGGCTACTACAATAAATGTAAATTTACATAACTGTTAATCTTTTGATTGTTGCTGAAATTTATAAGAATTAATTGTTTAAACTTAACTTAAAGTTAACTGGGTGCCAATCACAGAAGCGTCCGCGTATTTGAGAAGAGTTATCAGGACATAATATTGTCATTGGTCCTCACCACCAAGCTTTATGATTAATTTAAACTAGGCTACTGATTAAAATAGGGACGATAATTTGGTAAAGAAAAATTTTTGGGGCATATATAAATAGTTACATATCATTTGCCCGAGTAAGTTAAATGTATAGTGTTATTAAAATTATTTTTAAAATAAACAGACAAATCTTTGAGCCACTGAAACATTTCTGTCTGACGTCGAGTGCGTTCTCAGTAAAAATATCGAGAACCTTCAGAGATGTTCAGGGATCGTATTTTATTGTATGTTTGACGCAAGGTGTGTAAAAAGTGTCTTGAGCAAGAAACCTTAACACATAATGCTTTGTAAAATACTGTTCAGTGAGTATGCCTCATAACTAGTTAGTGTAACCAATACAACAGTAATGTAACCTATGCATAACAAAACATCTTAGAACATTATTTCTGTTAATGGTTGTTGTGTGTATAATTTGTAACACGATATGCCAGTGATGTAATTATATACCTTCAGAGAACTGCGTTTACATTTTTACAAGTCAACGTCTATAATGACTGTGGCGACTAGCGCCACGTCTCATGAAGCTCCTGCTCGCTAGGAGCATATACTTCTTGATTACATTTTAAGCTTAAACCCGTTGAGTTGGTATATCGAATTTTCTCAAAGAGGGAGGTGCAGTTCTAGCTCTTGATAACCTTGAAATCGGTCCAACCAGTTTCGGCCTCTACAATTTTGGTTACTGATAAGAGCAAAAACTGACAAGAGTCTGCGTTTAATGGCTACTAGGGTACTGTTGGCGCTCCGGCTGAAGTGGTTGGTGTAGGTCCATGGGCCAGGGTCGGTAGCGCCATCACTGAGGTCCCGATGGACCAGCTATATATATATATATATTGTCATCGTTATAATATATTATATTATAAAAACATGTATATTTACAAAAACAAGTATTTAATATACAATACCTCGTGACACACAGATTCAAAGAAGATCATTTAGGAGTGACATTATACTGTATACGTAATTGTAATATTGATAGTAAAACTCCATTGTAAATACTATATCTATTACTAACCATATATTCAAATGAGCATTCGCGTTTAGAGTTAAGCTAACTGAAACGATTTCGGTGGACAAAAGCTGTAATCTCGTTCCGTTTTATCCACTCTCCACGTGGTCGGTTCAGTAATGTAATTCCAGATAGCAACGAGGATAACGTTATTGACTATAAACTGACTCTGCCTGCAACAACTGCCTTTACGACGTGACGAGGCGGTGCGTGAGTGATTCATGTCATCCGTGTCACGAGTACTGTATGTAATACAACTACATTACAGTTAAACACACTCAATATTGTTTTAAATAAACTGTGCAATTAGTTAATTTTTCAATGAAGACGATTAGACAACAATGGTATTGTGGATTTTCCTTAATTTAATCGTTCTGTTATGCCTGGTTGACATGTCTGAGATAATAGTGGTTTCACATGAAATTAGTGTAAATCCTGCTTCGTGGCAATCCTGATAGTTTATAGTGTCTCAATTAGTTTTGACTTTCTACTAAGTCATCTTCAGGCGTAAAGGGTGTCAAACGCGTGATCCCTTCATGAGAAGGTTGTCGTTACACAAACAGTATATAAACACACGAACACGAAGAATCGCATTAAAATGGTGAAAACGGTACTTTAACTGCAGTGTGAGAATGATGTGTCACGACTGGATAGATACCGGTACATAGTCTAGACACACACAATTTAAATTATTCACCATATTTAGGGGTTTGTTAGTGATGGACACAATCTTACACTAAATATCAATAAAATTTTAAGATAAAAACTATATATATATATATACATATTTATCTATAAAATAAAACAAATAAAAATATTCTATAAGAAATTATTAAACATAAAATTGAGACTCATAAGAAACATTCGCCAAAATGTGCTTTATGTTTGTATTCAAATTTCATAACCATTTAAAATATGAAACATCATACCTTTTCCCATTTCTATCTTCAAACGCATAGTGCATTCATACCTTTCGTAGCTTGAAATCATATTTTCAATTTATTTTGTAGCATACATTATGTATGTTAAACATTTGTAGGTTAAGGTTAGAAAATACCAAATGATAACTAATATAGAATTTTTCACGTAAGGACACATATAACCTGGGACATACGATACGTTCAGTTTACCGCGACAAGTTGGTTCCAATGAGAGAGTTTCCTACGAGAAGTCTTGCTTGTGAGTCAACAGTTTCTCCGTCGACACTTGAGCTCACAACATTCACTTCTCTTTCTCTGGAGTCTGATTCATCCTTATCATTCGTAAGTGCTGAAGATAATTTTCATAAACAGAAAATAAATTTAATAACACGTACATACAATGCTGATCAAAAAGTTGTTTAAGTTTCACATCTGATTAAAATTTAGGCATAAAAATACAACTGATATTTTAGTTTAAGTGACTCATGCTATTAGTAAATTTTAAAACGTGTTTTATGATTTTGAAGTTCAAACGCACAATTTTGTTTGCTTGCAAAGTGTAGGTTACTGCCTTTTTATACGAACAAAACACTGAATTATTGATAGTTAACTTTTTATAATCACGCTAGCCTAAAAGAACTAATGATTAATTCGACATATGAACAAACATTTGATTAAACTGTATCAATGCAATTAAGGTATTTATTTATTGATATTTTCAAGAGGATGTAGGGCGCACGTTCCGCTAAGATATGAACCCTGGGGCTGAGATGGCTGTCTGTGTAATAGGCGATACGTTAGATTTGAGTCTTGTGCCTTTCGTATTACGATTTAAAGGGGTTCTAAGTGACCTGTTTATCACGGGACTTGTAAAATGTATAAACAATCATTAACAAACAGTGAAGTTCATTTTGTTCAAGTGGAATGTTTCTGAATATACCTTAAAAATAATTGGGTTTGATCTTTTTGAGGTAGGTACTTTGGTCCCCAATAAGAAATGTGTTTAGTTCTTCATGTTATTTTTTACTTAAGTGTGAAAAAGGTCAACAAGATCTTTTGTGATATCTTTTATGTTACTATTGATAACAGAATCTAAACATTTTTGTACTGGGCTTTATTCGTATTTTTCAATACATTTATTGGGATTAGCTTTTTTGTAACATATCTTTTCACATCACTTTTTTCTATTAACAACTGTAATGTGTTAAACAT